TGTGAGACTGTAGAGCATGGGCTTTACAAAGGCATATGCAGCACCCATGAATTCCCTAGATAATCCTATATATATATAGTACTGACCGATTATGATGCACTAAATTACTTTCTTTCTGACTAAACTGAGTTTCATTACATTACTCATCCATATTATTGCTTTAGGTATGGACAATAATTTATCTGTTGCCTACTTCGATCTACGTAGTTTCCAGGATGCATGATTGTCAATTAAACGTGCCTGACCTTGATTGCCGAGATTAAATAATCGCAACATGAAAATCGCTAACTTTATTATATATATATATATATATTATAATAGGAATTACTCAAGAATTATCCCAAATTATCGCCATAAACCCTCGCTAACTCGGTTATTTGTTATGAGGTAATAATTAATCCAATGTGTAATCCATTACAGCAACTCTATTGAATAACCAACTGCAATTCTTTTACAACTCAGAGCAATTGCAATACATAAGGTTTCATAATAATAGCCTATATTTGATAGCTGACTCACTGAATTCGAGAAATCCCATTTGCATCAAAGTCAACCTTGAAATCAAGGTCATTTTTGCACAGCTTTGAATGCTCATATTGTTGCCACAATAATGAAGCAAGCAGTGCTGGAAACCAAAAGTTCTCGTTATCTCATTTAAATAATATAATTTAAATAAAATTGCACGAGCACACAAGCTGGGATTTTCTACACCAAATCTTGCCCAATGCTTCAACGTTAACAAAAGTATAATTTACAGGATAATCCATGGAAAAATAACTACCAGGACAGCTTATGGAGGCCGTAAACCGACCACATCCAAACAAGAGGACGACCTAATTCGTAATACCCTAAAAATCATTGCAGAAGATCGTTGTGCTCTATCCAATGAAAACATCTTCCCCACCATTTATGCTCCCTTCTGCAAAGAATGAAAAAAATTAAAATACGTCAGGTTTCAGCTGACGTCCTAAAGAAGAAAGGCAGAACAATCGACCATTCATGTATACAAACTTTACATCTTAATCAGTATTAGTTATCAGTATTAATTTGTTGTGAATAAAAATTATTTTATTCTTTTCAGTTAGTTATTAACTCAGAATGGTTTAGGTCAACCATTACTGACGAAATGGAAGTATCCGCCACATTCTGAACCGAATCAGGAAAATCAATGCAATAAAGACTTATCAAGGTTTGTTTACTATTACTTGGCAAAAACATTTTACTTCAGTATAAAGGCTGGTGCCTATATAAACCCACAAGTGTTTCACAGGAACCCGTTGCTTCAGTGTCGATTAGACCTGTACATATACCCCATGATCAAACTGCTTCCAGCTGCGATGATCGCGGAACGGATGAAACACGAACTGTAAATTCTATCACTCGCTCATTTAGGTGTACTTATAAATACAAGAAGTCCTCTGTGCGTTAATACCTGTTGAAACGTTTCGAACAAAACATGCTCTTGTCGATCGCTGGGTCAAAGAAAAGTCCATCAGCCTGACCGGCCCAATATACAGACGGCCGAATAGAGAATACAGTAGCGGTAGCAGTCATATGTTGAGTTCAAATAATGTTTTCAGTGCCCGGTATAGCTCCATATCACTACTACTGGGCTGATGTTGGTACCGAGTCAACTGGAATTCATTCAATAGCGTATGGGGCCGACAAATGGCTTGCTTAGTCTTCTGTAACTCACCGTTGGTTCACTGCGTTGGTGCCATATCAGAGCCGATGAAGCTAGACAAAGAAACAATAATAGGTTTCTTTACAACTCATTCAGGTTAAGAAAAAGCCTGTCTACTGCTGCCATTTATGATTGAACCTGATGGGTTCACTGTGAATACTACCCTCTGTTTTCAATAAAGTGAAGTACTTGATACATGGGGCAAAAAAGCAATGACAGATGAAAAATAAAGCACGGCGAGGCCTCGCTTGATGCTATCGGCTGTGCCCCCTGGTTATCCTAACATCAAATCCGAAGCCGTGACTTCAACTACGCATACAACTTTTCAGGCAAGTTTTATGTTGTCGTGCTTGTCATTATTGTGATTGTTGTATTTTTCGGGATCAGTCGTAGCTTGCACGAATTATTTGGTAATGCTTGAATGAGTTTGCAAGGGCAAATGTGCATTATAGTCTTTCATCTGTCTCTCCGTTGGTCTATCATTATGAGTTGATCTCTTATACAGTCTATCGACTCCACCCCAAATATTTCCTACCCCCTTAAGTTGTGTTTGATAGTCATTGCATAACCTACCATCCCTACCATCATCATGATCATGATGTTAGAAACCCTCACAAAAGGTCCGAACGTTGTGCGTCATTCTGATTGGGATTGATGATACTGGTAAGTAACGTTTTTGTTGACTTCGGGGAGTATGATGTTGATGATGATGATGATGATGATGATGATGATGATGATGATGATGAGAATGAGGACGGTAACGGTGTAGAATGCGTATTGAAAGCGTGTTTCACTCCCATGTCGCCTGCATCTCAGCAACACGCCACCCCGTTGCATTGCCGCCACGACCTCCACCATCACCACAAGCTCCGAATGCTATCCACACTTACCACTTGAGGTGGACAGTTAAGCTGTGCAATTATCGGACATGAGGGTCAAGCACTTAATGGTAAACCACAATTTGATTCGTCACATGTACGGGTGTCTTTGTGTGCGTGTGTGTTTTGTTTTCGTATATGTGTGTGTGCGTGTGCGCGCTTTGTACCACGGGGAAAATAAACAGCCTCTTCTACATTCACTTGTAGCCCACATATGAAGTTAGGCAAAGGTCTCTCGCGGCAGATGAAAAGTGACTGTAAGTATAGGAACGAGAATATGAACGGATCGAGATAACTTAGTCTTGCTAGGGACATATGGGATTCTGAGTGAGTTAAGTGCCTCCGCCCCTATCCCCTACGAAAAAGGACATTGAGGTGGATACAGGCTACTAACAAGAAATGATGCACACACACGGGCTAGTCCATCAATTTAAATCGTTTCTACGGATCTATTGTAGGAGAAAAATCACACGAGAATTGAGAATGAGTTTAATGGACAAAGTGTGTGTGTGTGTGTGTGTGTTTGGGTATCTGAGCGAAAGGAGAGAAAGCACTACAATTACGCGAACACCCACGTGGTATATTGTTGGCCAAAACGTCCTAAAAACACAGGACCGGTTTTGTTGGTTTTGCTGCTCATCGAGTATACGGATCCGGTACACTTATACTAAGGAATACCTACACCTGAATAACAGCACAGTACCCTCATATGCATGTGATGAAGTTATTTGGAGACCAGCGAAACCTCGAAGAACTATTACGGGGATTCTATAATTTATTTGTCTTTTGAGGTGTTTTGAAAGAGAGATTAGACGCACCGATTGTAATCGAATCATTGGAGTGAAGTTTGCTTACCTTGAGTTCGCCACCGTTTTGGCAAATAAGTCTATCTAAGGCGAAAAATTTTTTCACGTTCGGATTGCAGAGATCTGCACCATCTGCTTCGCTCGTGTGTGTGTGTGTATGTGTGTGTGTGTGTGAATTTGTGAAACTTTTATTGTATGCTACCACATGATTAAAAAAGCTAAAGAATGAACACACAACAGTTCATGATTCACCTCAATGTATTTGATCAAAGTTTATCTAAGAAGCTAGTCTATACAAAGCAAGAGTAATGCGACTTAACAAGAGGAGTGAATCCAAAAGAGATGGAGGCAGAATCTATATCTTTAGCAAATTAAGCTGTCCAAATATCATTTCAAGACGTCCGAGTATCATTTCAAAATGTCTCGTTGACCTCATCGGCGCTAACAAGCCTCCCAGTGATGTCTCGATGACAGNGGGGGGGGGGGGTACGATTATGAGACGTGCCTCGGTCACACACCTCAATTCCCGTGACATACACATTGGTTGTTTATCTTCCAAGTACGCGTACGCGTCTGTGTATGTGTGTATTCGTCCTCCCCTACTGATACCAATGAACTATGCGCGGTCAACGCTTGAGCCATTGCTTACCTCCGTGGCATGATGCTGCAATAGAATTCATAGGCTACAGCTCAAGCAGTTGCACTGGGGCATCCATCGACCATGCTCGATCGATATACGCATCAGTGTTGACCAGATTCACATCCAGTTTGTTCGACAATTTCAGGTTATATTCCATCTCTGTGATACCACCACAGAAGCCACTTCGGATGATAAACAATCAAAATGACCATTTTAGCCATATATCCAGAATAAAATAAGATATATCTGTCAAACCAACTGCAATAGGAATAACGTAACGAGGACTGTCGAAACATGCCATATATTTCATAATAGTTGCGGAATTCTACAAAAAAATTCGTGTTCAAAAATTGTAATGATTTCGAAAATTCACTTTTCTGAGTATGAACCCCATATTTGATAATCTTTGTCGCTGAAATCATATAGTCTTACTTAAACACTTCCACCACGTAAAGTGAACCAGATGAATTAGTGTATGATATTCAAAATTAGCAAAATGCAAACTGGCTTCGAACAATCGTGTTGCTGTTGTCCCATTTCTCGACTCAGTTTCACGATGGGAACACTACCGTGACCGTTCTTAAAATAGTTATTATCGAATCCACCACCAATCATATATTGTGAAAAGTTTTGATAACATAGTAAGTGTTAGAATATCAGAACAACTTTCGGTTGACATAGATAGCTGAACCAGAACACCGCATTTTAGTGTTCTTGCAGGAAATCCAGGTAAATTATGGATGCAAAATGTCCGTTGATGTATATCACACATTCGTAAACAAAGGATGAAACAATCTATACCCCTAACATGATAATACCTAAGCTCCGAAAAGAGGGAAGATGCTTTTTGGCGCAACGTTTTAGGAGGCAGGTCTATCCGAGTGCTACAGGGTCACCGCATGATGGTCATCGCTGGAAGGCTTCTTAGCGACGATGAGGTCAACGAGACAGTTTGAAATGATGCTCATACATCTTGAAATGATACCCGGACACAGTGGAATGGAATTCGGACAAATTGAATTGCAAAAGGTATAGTCCTCGCAGTGGGTGATCATTTTTGAGCACTTCGAGACATCCGGTGCTGAGTATAACCTTGTTCTACATCTTTCATTGCAAGTTCATAAGAAAACTTGTGCCATAACTGCTATTTTATTAGTTTTCAATCGACTTTTATGCAGTGAATAATCCGCTTTTATAATTGTTCAGTTCGATAACATCTTATTGGGTATACACACACGATATAATGTGTCTCGTTTGTGCAACTTTGCTTTATGTTTTTGAACTGTAGATGGAAGTTGAATCGAGACAACTTGCTGAATACGATGAAGTGCGGGAGGATTGAATTCCATTGCTACGATGGCTTGTTATCTGATTGTGGAAATCGGCTAACTTACTTCTTCCAGATAGGGTCAAATTAATATAGATGTTGAAGTAATCCGATCAGTAGCGAAGCTGACTGTCGTTGAAGTAGTACGGAAGAAGTAGGGTTCGTTTGCTTAATCACTCTGTTCTCACAGAACTACACTGAAACTCGTAAGACATACAATTTTTATTTCTTCTAACATAGTTGTTTTCCGGGACTTTTTGACATTATCTTGTATTCATTCTCTTTCAATTATTCCTACTATAAGTTACTTTGTTCTTTTTCTTCGTACTACCTCATTCCTTCCCGTCAAATTCATGCTATTGAGTATCAATTCACTCAACGCCACTTCTTAGCTTCTAAGCAAAATGCATCAAAGATAAAACTGATACATTCTAAACAGTTTCGATGGACTATGTGTAATATATTGTAAAGAAAATCAGCTACAATACTCCCTATGATTTCACCCGTTCCTGAGCACGACCGCTGTTTGTTTCAAGTACACCATTTCCCGCATACTTCTCCCCATGCCGCCTCAAATACTTTGCTCTTATAATGTTATCTTTAGAAATACGAAGATGGTTCCTCAAAACATTGAAAAAACGGTTGATTTGAGACAAGTCTTGAGAATCCCTGCATATCTGACTAAATGCAAACTGTTATTCTGAAGAAAAACAGGAAATAAATCTGTTTGACATATGGAATGATATGGAGCAGTAGTCCGAAAAACTATCCTGCCAGAATTATTCTCATCTTGACCAACTGCGAGAATGTGTAGTTGAAGTGCGCAAACCCTTAGGTGTTCGCTGATTTACACCAAGTTTTACAAATAGGGAACTGTTTATTACAAGGATGAATTGTATAGAAGCGAAATCGGGTAATAAAGAACTGAACATGTACCTTTACATAGGGTGGTTCTTATTCTTATGAAAGGTTCCGGAACAGTAGTGGAATGGTTCAATAGGTTTTTAGCGTTAGGGCTGCTATTCTGCTGCTGACTCAAGATGTCGTGAGAACCGTAGATTCCTTAAATGTGCGCCCCTCAGTGCTACTCACGTTCAACGTGAAGTTCAATCAGGTATACCACAGAAACGCTGACGTTCACAGCAGGAGAGACCCTTTGCCTTCCCTCGTCTCTGTTGTATCCGATGTTTTTATCGAGCAATCCGCCTAAACGTGCCATCCCGAGAATAAACGTCGCCGAATCGAATTCATGTCAGAACTGCATTATTTACAGCTTGAATTAAGGGAAACTGCCTGTATTTGACAGGCAAAAACAGAATCCTATGTTTCTAAGGAATACCAGAAATAGTAAACTTGAGTGATCTTTAAATATTTTAATTTCCCTCCACGCTCCCATCATTAAACTCTGTAGTGTCAGTTAAATTAAGAAATTATGGGAGCATATCTTTATCGAAAGTTAGATGTTTACGAAACAACGTTCGGTTTTGGATATTCATTCATTGTGATGCCTGGTTTTCTCACTTCAGGTGATTGCTCACTTTACAAGTGAATTACTTTGAAATGTTTCCCGGTTCCTCGTAAACCATTGTGTAAAGAAACTGTACAAGGTACAATGAAAACATTCTGATAACTTATGAAGCAAGGAAACAAGAAAAGGTCATCTTGATCAAATCATATACATTTCTACAGATACAACAGTTGTTGCTCGAACTCCAGTTATGTCAGTGCTTAAAGGCCGGTGGCTTACCACGAGGACAAACTTTGAGCTCCTTGATGAATATATCACTAAACCCGAATAAGTGAGGTAATACCACTAGACCACAGTACCTCTCACTTTTAGCATCATCATGAAACACTCACTCAACCATCTGATATCTGTCGGGCAACAGAGTTTTGGTGATGGCTCTGTTTTGTGGTGAGTTAAAATTGCACACATCGCGTTACTTCCTAAGAAAAGTCGTGATTACTTATTGAAGAGAAATCTCTAGCCGGACGAAACCTCGTCACATGACCAAATCTCACTACTGATTGATCACGACAGCTTGTTTAGTAGATTAGTTTGTACCCATTCCCACACAGCTATCTAAGTGCTTTTTCTCTCATTGGCAAACTAAAGAGGTGACCCGTTTGTGTACAGCTTCCCTGGCTGTATAACTGTAATCACGTACAGCCCCCGGGCTATTGGAACTTGAAAAGGAAGTGGTATTCATAAACTTCAAATAAAACCTCCAACCACAAATACTATT